CCAGATGTTCTTGGCCTTCAACTCCCAGAAATCCTGGCCAGCAGAGGTGGTGGTGAAGGCTTCTGGGAGTTGAAGTCCAAGAACATCTGGAGGGCCACAGTTCGACACCACTGTGCTAGAATGTTAAGAAAAGACAAAAATGATATTAAATTAGAAGATTGGTATGGCGAAGTATGGGACTTCGCATTAAATATAAATTGACTACTGAACTTATGATGAAAAGAGGGGAAATAAGTTCTAATATTTTTATGCTATTTGGGGTAGATTTGTTGAATTTGTATTAGTGAAAGGAAAGGGGAAAGTCTCTAAACAACAACCGTTCGACGACGATAATGCGTTCCAGCAAAATCGCTGTACAGCGAAATCGTCGTCAAACGAAAAAACCATTGGAATGCATTGAAAACCGGTCAATGCGTTCCAATGGGGGAAATACCTGATTGTCCTGTGAAGATCCTCCATAGGGCGGGCATTTTCCGATGCCTGTAAAGCGAAAATAGGTCAGCAAAACAGCGGGGAGCCATTTTGCGAACTGCTAATCAGCTGTTTTTAGATTGTCGTTAAACGAAAAATTGCTTCCCGAAGCAGGGAATTAATCGTTGAGAAGTGAAAACCCCCATTGAATTGTTTTGCGATCGCTATAGCGATCGCAAAAAACTCATCATTAAGCAATTTCCTCGTCAAGTGGGGTAATCATCAAGCGAGGCACCACTGTATACAATTTTGGAAAGGAAATCTGTAATAAAAATTGTTCAATGGGGTCCTGTGGGTATGGGGTGCACATTAGTATGTAGTTTAAAACAGCACTATTATTTGTATATTTGTATTTTTCTTGTTGTAATTGTTTTTGTTTTAAAATTAATTTTTAAAAGGTAAAAAAAAAGCAGTAGAGTTCATTACTATTTCCATTTGCAAAACAGTCTATCTCCAGCACTCCATGCAAAATGAGGAGGTAACAGGGTGGGCATGTTTTCTACACATAAGCTCCGGCATTATCTAATAAACTAAATTATGAAACATATGGACTTTGGATGCACATAAACATATGTAAATAATTTATAGTAGAACTTGTCATAGAACACTATAGCTCTTATTAATGGTTCATTTAATCAAGTTTTAATTTCAGTTCAGCAAACCTTTGGGCAGCATCATAATAATATGGGGATTATTTAGCAACAAGTGAATCAGCAGCACAGATTAAGTACACCAATAGCCAATAGCATCACAATGTTTTGTCCATATTGAGCTACTATATGTCAGTAATTGGTCTCATAAATGAGATCAAAAACCACGAAACAGGAAAATCCAGGCTTCCTTCACTCCCGACTTAAGTTAACTGCTTGAGTCAAACACAGTTCCGGGACATGAACTCTTGGAAAACCTGTATTTAAGTCTGTTTCGATTTTACTAAAAAGAAACCACTTAATACCGTATCTTTACTGTTCAATGACTCAATTTTGGTAACGTAAGGCCAAATTCATTATCTATAGGGAAACTGTTCTGTTCAAAGGACTAGAAAGGCCAGTTATTAAACAACATGAGTTTATTTAAGTGAACAAAGAAAACATTTCTCTACAGTTTCATTTCTAAGCAACAGCATAACGTTTCAGCACCTTCTATAAAAATTAACTATTGAACAAAACAAAATCTAAACTATAAACTAAGGAAAACAAACGATATTCTTACGCAGTCCATATTGTTAAATCAGGTTCCTTCGTCTGGATCAAAGATATTCAACGCCATGTTTTCAGATACCCAAAATCTCTTCTTCCCTTCTCTCTCTCTCAGAGTTCCTTTTTCCAACCTCTTGTAAATTTCTCCAACCTGCCCCTTCCTGACATATTCGACCAATCACGAAGGAAAGAATTAGCATAGGGTACGCCCTACTTTCCCACCAACACCAAAGAATTGTTTATAATTCAGGTTAGATATTTTGACTCTGCTGTGTTTTTCTCTCCAGCTGCAGCGATAAGGTTGGCAACATGAAGCTGAAAATAACTACTAGTAATTTTCCAGAACTTAGCCTGTGTCAGACTCAAAATGGATTTCTCTATGGTTAAAACATGACTACATAACCCATCTCTAATTAGAAAAATACACTTCATCACACTATAAAACAAAAATTCCATCATTTACTATGATCACAGCAAAAACAACAGCCTTTTTCTTCTATAGAGAAATCCAGTTCTACTATTTCTTAGATCCTAATGCATAAATATAAGACTCACAAGATCATATTAGTAGGATATTATGTCATTTGAAGAATATAGAATATACACCATAGATAAAATGAGGCACACAGGAAAAAATTAAAAACACCTGAAACACAAATTTAGAACATTACTAACACAGAGATATAATCAGTAATTGGAGTATAAAATATGGCACCCTGTAATATCGTCACTCATTTGTGTAATAAAGGAAATTCTAATATACAAACACTGTTTGGGCAGTTGTAGATCTTTTTAAAAAGTAAAAAAGTAAAAGCTTGAATTACCTGATAGGGTTACTGGTCAAAGATACACGAAGGGATTCTAAGCAACTGACAAGTTTTTCATCAGCTGTTCCAGCTTTCAATTCGTATACGAATTCCTGCGGTGAAATCTGTTTGTGGTTTTTGAGATATCCCTGAAAGGCAGAATCACTTACTGCAGAGCTATACACCTAGAAAAGATCCCAGCCCCTTCTGATCTTCAGTCAAAGCAGGAAATCCACAGTTAAAGTACCGTTGACCATCTAATCTGTATTTAAACACCTACAGTGAAGACAAGCCCACCCACCCACAGCAGTCCATTTCATTTTCAAAAAATTCCTACTTTAATAGATTTCTTCTAATTTTCAAGTACTGTATCTAGGTTGTTGTAATTCAACACCATTACTTTGGGTTTTAACCTTCAGAGCTTCATAAAATATTTATGCAATGTCATCTTCATATCACAAACAACTGAATCTGACTATTAATTATTGTTCAGCAGAGCAAATCATTATTGCATAAAGGGATTCTAAAAGCGTGGGTACCCCAAACAAAAAATTATAACTTAGAACCTGCACTTTGGATTAGCATCAAATTTGGCAGAGGAGTAGCAGACAATCTCCTCTTGTTCTGTGCCAAACTTGGGGTGTTTCCTCATAGGGTTTTTAAGTTACAATTTTTTACAATTAAAACTAGAGATGAGGGTATTCATATTCATATATGAATATCCCCAAAGAGGTGGCATTAATGAGGGTCCAGCCCCATGGGGCCGGACGGTCCACTCACCGATCTGATGCAATTCTACAAATGGCTCTGCAGCATACAAACCGATCGCCACTCTTTGACCTTGCAGCGAGAATTGTCCTCCTGCCTTCTGCCAGGAGCGGCAAGTGGATTGCGCACTGTGGGGCCATTTGTAGAATCGTGCCATCTGCATCCACATCGGATCAGTGAGTGGACCATCCAGCCCTATGGAGCTGGACCTTCATTAATGCCACCTGTGCAGGGATATTTGTATCCATATGCAAACTGTCAGGATTTGTTCCTTTAAGTGAACAAGGGGTTAAATTTCATATTGTAGTGAAAATGCAAAGTCATGCCTGTAATGTCAGGTCAATGGATGACTGATAGCATACAGATGGGACAAGCTTAGGTAATGCTTGTTAAACATGTTCAGCTGCCATGTCTGCAGTTATAGGCTGCTCTCACTATTTAAGCAAGTGTGTGAGAACAGGACTTTGCCACTCAGTTGTGAGTCTTGTGGTTATTATGTGAATGTTATGTTGCTCTGAGATATCTATGCCAATGTATATATTGCCATGTTTATATGTCTGACCAAGTCTAATATAAGTCTTATTAGCACTCTCTCCGTGCACTTTCTTATACGCCCGCTTATTAAGGGGATGATTTGAAGCTACCACATAGAGACTCTGTGTAACTTGTTATCTTGGGTTCCAAGGTTTGTTTTCCCTAACAGAGTGCTCTTGGAAGCTTTCATTATCCAAATCTGACTCCAAACTTCAAGACAGGCAAATACCATATCAAGCCTTTGAAGTTGAACACTCCCATCTCTAATTAAAACCTTGTTCTCCCCATGCAGAAACAACCTTTATGTCTGCACATTTAAAACAGCTCAAATAAATTGGAAAGTCCAGTCTTGCTTATCTTGATAAAGAATGGTTAGTCCGAGCTGCTTTTTTATTTAAAAGGAAACCAGGCTACAGAGGATGAAGTACTGACTCTGAAAGAAGCCCCTCCAAGGGATAAAAACTTTGTGACTTTCTTCTAAAACTGCCTTACCACAAATATTCCAAACAAAATAAGAAAGATTATTCAAGCTTTTGAGCCTGGAAGGGAGATCAAAACGTTTGACTCTGCCAATCAAGACAAAATTAAATGACTTAAAGGAAAACTTTTAAACTCTTTCCTAGCCAAACAGATTTAAAAGGGATTCTGTGTCCATTGTAAAAATATTTTGAAAGATATTTTTAAAAGAATAGCACAAACATTCCAAACAAAATAAGAAAGATTATTCAAGCTTTTGAGCCTGGAAGGGAGATCAAAACGTTTGACTCTGCCAATCAAGACAAAATTAAATGACTTAAAGGAAAACTTTTAAACTCTTTCCTAGCCAAACAGATTTAAAAGGGATTCTGTGTCCATTGTAAAAATATTTTGAAAGATATTTTTAAAAGAATAGAGTATAAATATTCAGAAGCTCATTTAAACTGTACATTATTGAGGGTTTTGCTTTGTGGCTGTTTCTGTGATTGTTGATCTGCAGCAATCTCTTTAGATAAAATGTTATAGCATGGTACAGGTTTGCAAGGAAGACCAATGGCTTTGACAAAGACTACAGCCAAAGGAGGGGCTCTAGGTTTCCTAGGAAAGTTCATAGACTAAACTAAATGAACTGCAAGAGTAAAAAAATTGGGTTTAAAGAAAGGAATGATGTGGCAATCGAAAGGGGCTGCTCTGACTTACAAGGCCAGCTTGATGGGCAAGGGACTGTGAAACTTTTTTTATATTTCTCTTTCCTTCTAAGGCTACATGTCTAGCCTTCTTTACCATTATAAGCTTCAAGAAACAACCCTCGCTCTCGCTCTCTCCTTCTCCTTCCCATTATTACCCTTTTCCAAAGGATGCAGGCAAGAACTAAAAGCAACTATCTCTCTCCTTCCCTTGCTGCTTATTCTCCTGAGCTGCTCTTTGCAAGATTTCTTCCCTGCTTCTTCACTCCCCCCCTCCTCCCTCCCATGTGCCTTCTATCTTTTCATCCTCTGCAGCTTTGTAGAGGAAAGAGTGCTTGTTTTTGTTGGAAACTGTTCGTAAGAGTTTTTTCCCTTGTTTTGTCTCTACTGCTTCTTAGCTGAGATTTAGGAATCATTTTAACTGGAAAATTAGTTGACAATTTGAATTTTTGAACCTGCCAATCAGGACACTGCTGTCAACTAGGATAATAACTTTTGAACACCTTCCTACCTAAAAGCACTCTTTGGGATTCATGCTTACCTAGTGATTCTGTGTTTGGCTGTAGAGAACAATCAAAAATTAACAGAATATTTTATTTACTTAATTCTTTTTTATTTACCATATATACTCGAGTATAAACCAACCCGAATACAATTCAAGGCACCCAATTTTACCACAAAGAACTGGGAAAACTTATTGACTCGAGTATAAGCTGAGGGCACAAAATACAGCCCCTTCATGGATTGCTACCTTGTCGTGGCGAAGGGGCTTGAGTAACTCAGAGAAGCTATGGGCTATGCCGTGCAGGGACACCCAAGACGGACAGGACATAGTGAAGAGTTCCGACTAAACGCAATCCACCTGGAGTAGGAAATGGCAATGCCACTCCAGTATCTTTTCCAAGAACGCCCCATGATCAGAAACAAAAGGCTAAAAGATATGACGCTGGAAGATGGGACCCTCAGGTCGGAAGGCGTCCAACAT